TACGGTAAGATAAGAATCGGAGAACTCAGAGGGCTTCCATAGCCTTGGAAACTCATGACTGGTGCATAGGGAGATTACTGATGCCATAGACAGGAGTGTCAATTGGTAAAGTCAACAACAGGAGTCACTATGCACTTACTCCTCATGTAGGATCTCTGTCTTTAATGTGCTGTGCATTGAGATTTAATGCTATAATGAGTACTCAAACAATATATTTCACTTTGTGTTTCTATGGGGGTGCAAACTGTTGAAATCTTTACTTAATGCATACTAAACTGATCCTCTGCAAAAAAAAAAAAAAAAGAAATTATCAATTCCCAACTTGACTCTCACTGGGATTAAACATAATAGGTCTGATCTGATTTCATCATCATTTAAAAAAATCATCTATTATTTTTCACTTTATGTTTCCGTGTGGGAGCAAACTGTTGAAATCCATACTTAATGTATACTAAGCTGATCTTCTGTATATTAAGAGAATCGAAAATGAATCTTGATGTGAATGGAAGGGGAGAGGGAGTGGGAAAGGGGAGGGTTGTGGGTGGGAGGGACGGTATGGGGGGGAAGCCATTGTAATCCATAAGTCGTACTTTGGAAATTTATATGCATTAAATAAAAGTTAAAAAAAAAATAAAAAAATAAATTGGCCAATCAAAAGACTTAGATTGGCTGAAGGATAAGAAACAAGAACCCTACTATATGCTACACAAGGAACTCACTTCACAAACAAAGATACACAGACTGAAAGTGAAGGGTTGGAAAAAGGTACACCAAGCAAATGGAAACCAAAAGACAATAGACATAGCTATCATGATATCAGATAAAACAGACTTTAAATCAAAAACCGTTTTTAAAAAAGGACATTATATTTTGATAAAAGTTTCTACTCATCAAGAAGACATAACAATCATAAATATATATGTACCCAGCACAAGACCTCTCACATATAAAGTATTTTTCCTGATAAGTAAAAATGCAGAGAAGCTCAAAGAACGTCCTGCATTAGAAGTAAGCATCATGAAAACACATGACACCACAAGATTCACTGAAAGAGCAGGTAGAATCACTATCCAATTAACAAAATTACAGGTCTTAGTTCTTGTTTATCAATAGAACCTTGAATGTAAATGGATTAAATTCACCAACCAAAAGGCTTAGGTTGGATAAATGAATAAAAAAACCATGACCCCACTATATGCTGCCTACAAGAAACTCAGTTCACAAAGATCAATATGAAGTGAAAGTGAAGGATTGTTAAAAGATATACCAAACAAATGAAAACAAAAAGAGAACAGGTATATCCATTTTGATATCAGATAAAAGAGACTTTAAATCAAAAATTATAAAAAGAGATAAAGAAGGATATTATGCTTTAATAAAAGCTTCAATTCAGCAAGAAGACGTAGCAATCATAAATTTATATGCAGCTAACACGAGCGCCCAGATATATATGAAATACTATTAGACCTAAAAAGAGAGATAGAATTCATTAAATAATAGTGAGTGACTTCAACACCCCACTCTCATCAATGGACAGATTGTCCAGCAAAAAATCAATAAAGGTACATCAGAGTTGAGACATACTATTGAGCATATGGACCTAACAGACAGAAAGGTAGAGTTCAGAGAGGAAGAGGTAGAAGTAGAGGTGGTACAGGTGGAGATAGGGAGGTCTTCTATCTGCTGGTTCACTCCCAAATACATGGCCGGAGCCATGCCTATCTGAAGCCAGGAACCTGGAGCTTCTTCCATGTCTCCCACATGGATGCAGGGGTCTAAGGACTTGGGCCATCTTCCACTGCTTTCCCAGGTGACAGCAGAGCTGGATCAGAAGTGGAACAGCCAGAACTAGAACCAGTGCCCATATGGGATGCCAGCACTGCAGGTGGCAGCTTTACCCATCATGCCACAGTGCCGGCCCCTCTCTGAATCTTTTGAGATAAATAATGAGATAAGGTTAGTTCTTACTTTCAATCAGATCTATTAAGACTCTTCTCTAAGAAGACATGCAATGACCATAACACTTATCTTCCATTTGTTTAGTGTAACTGATTAAGTATATTTTAAAGGATTTTTGTCTGACATCTCATACTGGACTCAAGTAAAATCCTCAAGTCTTAGAAGAGGGTTTTTTTGTTTGTTTGTTTGTTTGTCTTTTATGAACTCTATTTGGGACATGCAGCAAGTGAAGAAAAGAAATGAATTCTTAGATTACACTACTTTAATGTTTCAAAGACATGTATTAGCCCCTTGTTTTACTTACAGCTCTAGGTTCTGCCCTCTGTAGGAATCTAAGAAACAAATAGCAATCTTGGCACTCTACACTCGCAACCTCCAGTCCACTTTATTCTTTCCCCTGACAGGTGTGGCCCCCAGCCCCAGTGGTAAAACAATGGCCACAAGTTGGAAGAGCCCAAGTCTCCTGGTCAACAGTTGCTTTCAATCATTTGGTTGTTAATAAAGTCATAATGATTCACATTCCATTTGGGCATAACCATTTCTTAAGTCAAAAGTAAACACCATGGAAAATAAAAATAGAATACTTGCACATTTTTCACATGCAAAACATACTGGGGGAAATATTCAGCAAGATAATTATGGAAATTGGAACTTAAAAGATGTGAACCACATAATTAAATTTCCTACCAAAAAAGACTAGCAGCCAGCAATTTGCTACAGGACATTCACATTCGATTCAAAGGCTGGAGCTACTAAATCACTAAGTCCTATCATTTGGAAAGTTGTAATTGGTCTTTGATTCAATTTAATGTACTGAAGAATGGCTCGCCATGACATTTCATTTCTATAAACAATATCATTTAGAGCTCCTAGTGATTTCCTTCACAACCTCTACAAATGGAGCTGTATTCTGTTCAAAATCACTTGAGTAAACATGTAAAGTTAGCTTTGACAAATCACATGTTTCTTCTTTTTTATTAAAAAAAAGATATGTTTATTTATTTTTATTTATTTGAAAGAGTTACAGAGAGAGAGAGAGAGAGAGAAATCTTCTATCCACTGGTTCACTCTCTGGGCCAGGAGTCAGGAGCTTCTTCTGGGTCTCCCACATTGGTGCAGGGGCCCAAGCACTTGGACCATCTTTCACTGTTTCCCCAGGTACATTAGCAGGGAGCTGGATTGGAAGTGGAGCTGATATGGGCTGTTGGCTCCACAGGTGGCAGTTTTATCTGCTATGCCATAGCGCTGGGCCCAGCAGGTTTCTTTTAAAGAGACCTGCATCGAGTTCCCTAATGAAGATTGATCAAAGAACACCCAATGGGGCATGATAAATTTTAAAAGTAAGATACTCTGAAAAGTGAATTAATTATTTCCTCTGTGATGTTCATTAAGTAAACTGCATCTCCATTGCCGGTGTTTCAGAAGTATGGATGGTCTCAGTTCTCACATTTCTTCCTTTTTTGTGACAGGCAGAGTGGACAGTGAGAGAGACAGAAAAGTCTTCCTTTGCCGTTAGTTCACCCTCCAATGGCTGCCGCGGCCGGCGCACTGCAGCCAGCGCACAGCGCTGATCCGATGGCAGGAGCCAGGTGCTTCTCCTGGTCTCCCATGGGGTGCAGGGCCCAAGCACTTGGGCCATCCTCCACTGCACTCCTGGGCCACAGCAGAGAGCTGGCCTGGAAGAGGGGCAACCAGGACAGAATCTGGAACGCCACGCATGATTAGAACCCGGTGTCTCTCTCTCTCTCTCTCAGTGTCTATAACTCTACCTGTCAAATAAAAAATAAAAAATAAATAAATAAATAAAAGTACTTAGGAGGCTGGCGCCGCGGCTCACTAGGCTAATCCTCTGCCTTGCGGCACCGGCACACCGGGTTCTAGTCCTGGTTGCCCCTCTTCCAGTCCAGCTCTCTGCTGTGGCCAGGGAGTGCAGTGGAGGATGGCCCAAGTGCTTGGGCCCTGCACCCCATGAGAGACCAAGATAAGTACCTGGCTCCTGCCATCAGATCAGCACAGTGCGCCGGCTGCAGTGGCCATTGGAGGTTGAACCAACAGCAAAGGAAGACCTTTCTCTCTCTCTCTCTATCTCACTGTCCACTCTGCCTGTCAAAAAAAAAAAAAGTACTTAGGAACACAATGCCTTCAAACAGGGAAGTCTGTATTTTCGGTAGATAACACAGAATTTTCTTCGTAATTCCAAGAGACTCACAAATACATTGCAGTGGAAACAAAATACAATGGTGAGGGAAAGGAACAGAAGCTAAATTGTGTGTGTGTGTGTGTGTGTGTGTGTGTTTAAGAAAAAAATGCAACTTCAAAAAAAATAGCAACTCTGGAAAGTTGTGACTGAGTTACATGACACTGAGATTAGGAGGGGAAGGCATGGCTGGACACTCACCGACGTAACATCACAAAACCACCCGGCAGCCTAAGCAAGGGAGGCGGTGTTCTTGTTAGCAGGAACGCATGACTGCTGAGCACAAGGAGCAGAGACCTCACATGCTCTTTTATTCATGGTGAATGCCTCACTAACTGTGGTAGTCCTGCAAAGGAGCTCGAGGGCTTGGAGTGCCAGTGACTTCATTCTCTTCTGCTGAAATTTCTAATCCAAAGATTTTAGAAAATGACTTCTCCCTGGGTAACTGAATTTAGTCATTTAGTTCACACATTCCTGGCGATCACCAAGATGTGGGAGGATTCATTAGTTATCTTAAGTCTGGTTTATAAAAAATGAAAAGTAGTTACTCGGCTAGGAGACCATGGCAGTCACTCAAATCAGAAAAGACAGGGGCCAGCGCTGCGGTTGCTCCTCTTCCAGGCCAGCTCTCTGCTGTGGCCCGGGAGTGCAGTGGAGGATGGCCCAAGTGCTTGGGCCCTGCACCCCATGGGAGACCAGGAGAAGCACCTGGCTCCTGGCTTCGGATCAGCGCAGCACGCCGGCCGCAGCGGCCATTGTGGTGTGAACCAACCGAAAAGGAAGACCTTTCTCTCTCTCTCTCTCTCTCTCTCTCTCTCTCTCACTGTCTAACTCTGCCTGTCAAACCTCCTGCGAAGGTTGCCACGGCCAGGAGCGAAGGGACCAGCAGGAGGGAGTCACGCCTGACCAGAGGGTGGGCGGTGGGCCCGTAGAGCCGAGTCCCTGCTCGTCCGACCCCCGCCGCTCACTCTGTACCCCTGCCCGGGAGCAGAGGGCTCGTGCTCGGCGACCCCCCACCGCTCTGCGGGGGGGGCATCGCCCCGTGACAGGTGAGCTGGTGGAACCCAGCAGGCGGCCGGGGGGTAACGGCCCCTCTGAGCCGTCCCTCCTCCCCTGCAGGTGTTGCCTGGTTGGGCCCAGAAATGGGACGTCGAGCCTCTTGGGTAGTGTAGACTCAGCCAGGGCCCCTGCACGCCGCTGCTGCTGTGGCAGGAAGTGAGCCAGCTGCCGAAGGATGTCCACCACGGCGGTCGCCCCCCCGGGGATCCCAGCGGCCCCGGGCCCTGTGAATGCCACCCCCCCACCCGCCCCGCCGCCAGAGGTCTCCAACCCCAGCAAGCCTGGCCGCAAGACCAACCAGCTGCAGTACATGCAGAACGTGGTGGTGAAGACGCTCTGGAAGCACCAGTTTGCCTGGCCCTTCTACCAGCCCGTGGACGCCATCAAGCTGAACCTGCCGGACTATCACAAGATCATCAAGAACCCGATGGACATGGGCACCATCAGGAAGAGGCTGGAGAACAACTACTACTGGAGCGCCAGCGAGTGCATGCAGGACTTCAACACCATGTTCACCAACTGCTACATCTACAACAAGAAGGTGGCCCAGATGCCCCAGGAGGAGGTCGAGTTACTGCCCCCCGCCCCCAAGGGCAAAGGCCGGAAGCCCGCTGCGGGAGCCCCGAGCGCAGGTACGTACCAGGTGGCGGCCGTCTCCTCCGTCTCCCCAGCAGCCCCCTTCCAGAACGTGCCCCCCACCGTCTCCCAGACGCCCGTCATTGCTGCCACCCCCATCCCAACCATCACAGCGAACGTCACGTCAGTCCCCGTCCCCCCGGCTGCTGCCCCCCTCCTCCCGCGACACCCATCGTCCCTGTGGTCCCTCCCACGCCGCCCGTAGTCAAGAAGAAGGGCGTGAAGCGGAAAGCGGACACGACCACGCCCACGACCTGGGCCATCACCGCCAGCCGGAGCGAGTCGCCCCCGCCGCTGTCTGAGCCCAAGCAGGCCAAGGCCGTGGGGCGGCGGAAGAGCGGGGGCCGCCCCATCAAGCCGCCCAGGAAGGACCTGGAGGACGGCGCGGTGCCGCAGCACGCCGGCAAGCGGGGCAAGCTGTCCGAGCACCTGCGCCACTGTGACAGCATCCTGAAGGAGATGCTGTCCAAGAAGCACGCGGCCTACGCCTGGCCCTTCTACAAGCCCGTGGACGCCGAGGCGCTGGAGCTGCACGACTACCACGACATCATCAAGCATCCCATGGACCTCAGCACCGTCAAAAGGAAGATGGACAGCCGCGAGTACCCGGACGCACAGGGCTTCGCCGCCGATGTCCGCTTGATGTTCTCCAACTGTTACAAGTACAACCCTCCTGACCACGAGGTGGTGGCCATGGCCAGGAAGCTGCAGGACGTCTTCGAGATGAGGTTCGCCAAGATGCCGGATGAGCCCGCCGAGACGCCGGCGCTGCCGGCCCCCGCAGCGCCAGTGGTGAGCAAGGGCGCTGAGAGCAGCCGCAGCAGCCAGGAGACCTCCTCGGACTCGGGCAGCTCGGACTCCGAGGAGGAGCGGGCCACCAGCCTGGCCGAGCTGCAGGCGCAGCTGAAGGCCGTGCACGCCCTGTCCCAGGCGCCGGTGAACAAACCAAAGAAGAAGAAGAAGAAGGAGAAGGAGAGGAAGAGGAAGGACAGGGATAAGGACAAGCACAGGGCCAAGGCCGAGGAGGACAAGAAGGCCAAGGCGGCGCCGCCCGCCAAGCAGGCCCCACAGAAGAAGGCACCCGCCAAGAAGGCCAACAGCACCGTGGCGGCCGGCAGACAGCCGAAGAAAGGAGGCAAGCAGGCGTCGGCGTCCTACGACTCGGAGGAGGAGGAGGAGGGCCTGCCCATGAGCTACGAGGAGAAGCGGCAGCTGAGCCTGGACATCAACCGGCTGCCGGGGGAGAAGCTGGGCCGCGTGGTGCACATCATCCAGTCCCGGGAGCCCTCGCTGCGCGACTCCAACCCCGACGAGATCGAGATCGACTTCGAGACGCTGAAGCCCACCACGCTGCGGGAGCTGGAGCGCTACGTCAAGTCCTGCCTGCAGCGGAAGCAGCGGAAGCCGCTGTCAGGCAGCGGGAAGAAGCAGGCGGCCAAGTCCAAGGAGGAGCTGGCGCAGGAGAAGGAGAGGGAGCTGGAGCGGCGGCTGCAGGACGTGCGCGGGCAGCTGAGCGGCAGCAAGAAGCCGGCCAGGAAAGAGAAGTCCGGCTCGGCGCCCCCGGGGGGCCCCTCCAGGCTGAGCAGCAGCAGCTCCTCGGAGTCGGGGAGCAGCAGTTCCAGCGGCTCGAGCTCCGACAGCAGCGACTCGGAGTGAGGACGCGGCCCTCCCGAGACCCCGCCCGCCCCCTCTGTGGTTAATATACTACTTCTGTTCATGGCGTGCAGGCTTGATTCTCAGTGTTACGGTATCTTCCAGTCCCGCGTGAACAGGCCCGCGGGCGCTCCCGCGGGAGCCTCGGCTCCATGGGAAGGCGTGAACTCTGCACGGGACCGCGTGGAGAGGACGCCCGCCGCTGCCGCCCTGTAACCATAAACACGGCGCGGGCGCGCGCCGGAGGACCCCGCGCCCCGCCGCCGGGAGCTCACGCCGGGCGCCGTGGCTGCGTTTGGAAGCTGTTGGCTTTGCAAACCGGTGCTGTCTCTGCCGCGCTGGCCGGGCGCGGGCCCCTGTCGGCCGCCGCCAGCCGGGCGCACCTGCTCCTGGGACGCCGGCCCCGCCCCCAGCAGCGAGGGCGGGGCGGCTGCGTGCGCGGCGAGCGTGCGGGTTTCCAGACACTGAAACTTTTTACCTCAACTTAAAGAAGATTTAAGAGAAAAAAGAAAAAAGACTTTTTTTGTAAGGCTCAGCAGTTTTCTACACGAGTCCAGCCCCGTTGTGTCCCCAGCCGGTCAGCTCGCAGCCGCCGCCGGAGCCGCGTCCCCGGTTCTATGTATATATAAATACTTTATTTATTAACATCATTGGTCATAAAAAAAAAAAAAGAAAAGAAACGCACGCGCCAGGAAGGCGTGGGGGCCGTGGGCCTGGCGGGGCCCCCTCCAGGTGCTAGTGCCTGCTCCGGCCCGCCGGCTCCGCCTAGCGGCTCGTCATGGGTGGGCCTGGGCGGCGCGGAGCTACAGCACATTCTGGTTTTTTATTTTTGTCTGTTTTGTATTCCCTCCTGGTCTCCCCGGGTCTGTTTTTCAAGGAAATCAGTTTAGGGCACCCCCTCCTCCCCCCACCCCCCAGTTATATAAACTTTGTAATTTGAGAGAGAAAATGTATAGTAAAGCTGTCTCGATTTGTAACTTGCGATTGTAAAGATAATAATAATAATAATAATAATAATATGCAGAGTTTAACGGAAAAAAAAAAGAAAGAAAAAAAAGACAAGACAAGACAAGACAGGAAACCTCCATGGCTTACTCTCATTTCAAGTCCAGGTGGCACACGGGTTCTGTCCCCTCTGGCTATTCCACCTGTGCCCAGTGAGCAGTCTTACCCACCAAGGCAGGAAGTGATCAGCCCTGTGTCCCTTTCCAATGATGTAGATTTATTGCTTGCATTGGGCAAATCCACTGAAAAATACATTTTTTCACATTTTGTAAATTAGTACCGCTAATATAGTAAGCTTTCAACCTACACTTTCTATAATAAGGATCTTGCTACAGGGGGTAACAGGAAATGTATAGACATAAAAAATAAGGCAGTTAATATTTAAAAATATAAAAAATAAAATGGTTGATGCAGACTATAGGAGGGTTATTATTTTTCACAAAACTATTTAATGAGGTTTAATCAATCAATTAAAAACACTAATTCTGGAATTTACTTTCACTAACTGGTAATTATTGAACAGTCTTTATTAATTAATGACTTTAAAACTTTCAAATAATGCAATAATGCTGGTTTTTATTAACTTAAATAAAAATTGTATAGTGTAAAAATGCTTGAATTTACTGTAATAGTTTTACTTTTATCTGCCTTTAAAATTTTTCAGAGAGAATATAGATATGGCAATAAAGAACTTCAACATAGCCCTTTTAAAATTAATTGTAACTTTATGTAGTAACTGTAAAAAGATTAGAAAATTGCACAATTTTAATTTTTTTAGTGGAAACTGCACTGAAATATAAGTACAGCTAAATACAGTTCAAATCCAGACAATTATCTTCATCTCATTTCAACTAGAGACAAACAAGTTGCCTTCTCTTGCTACAGGTGGCTAATTATTATTCTTATGCAAATTTAAACAAACATGTATTGTGGGCATATGCATGTGCTGTTATGAAGGTTAAAAATAGCTACTTTTTAAGATTTATTTATTTATTTGAAAGGTAGAGTTACAGAGAGGCAGAGGCAGAGAGAGAGAGAGAGAGAGAGAGATCTTCCACCCCCTAGTTTACTCCCTAAATGGCCACAATGGCCAGAGCTGGGCCGATCCAAAGCCAGGAGCCAGGAGCTTCCTCCAGGTCTCCCACATGGGTGCAGGTGCCCAAGCATGTGGGCCATTTTCTACTGCTTTCTTAGGCCCCCAGCGGGAGCTGGATCTGAAGTGGAACAACCAGGACTCGAACTGGTGTCCATCCGGGATGCTGGCACTGGAAGTGGAAGCTTAGCCCACTACACTATAGCGCCAGCTCCAAGAATCTTTATGACTTTATTCAAGAATTAGTGATGCCCAAATAATCCTTTCACTATTTCTCTATGCTCATGTTTTCTCAGTCATGATCCCTTTTCTCAATAGAGAGGGTAGATCATCACTCACCTGCTAAACACCACTTTCTAACAGTAGCAACAGTTGAAGTGAGAAACTGAGTTAACTAAACATCTAGCAATTCCAAAAGAGAGCAAAGAATCCTCACTTGTGGGCTTCCAGTTGCCTGATGATGGGAATAACACTGGTGGTTATTAGAAATAACCTCATAGTACAAAGAAAAGGACTGAAATAAATACTAACGGGACTCAGAACAAGAAAATAATTTAAAGCATAGCATGGAATCTTTACCTGCCTGCCAAAAGGCAGTCAGATGACTTTTATCCTCACCAGCCAAGGAAGCATGTATATACTGGACTACAGCTTTGTCCAAGAATTCACTGGATCAACTTTACCCTGTGAATACACATATGCATGAATATAGTGGCAAAAATGCAGCCGTTGTCACAGATTTTTGTTACTTATAGGCTTCAGAATAAAACTGAGAACACTGCTTTAAAAACATGGCTCACAAGGCTAATCCTCCGCCTGTGGCGCTGGCACCCCCGGTTCTAGTCCCGGTTCGGGCGCCGGTTCTGTCCCGGTTGATCCTCTTCCAGGCCAGCTCTCTACTGTGGCCTGGGAAGGCAGTGGAGGATGGCCCAAGTGCTTGGGCCCTGCACCTGCATGGGAGACCAAGAGGAAGCACCTGGCTCCTGGCTCAGATCGGTGCAGCTCGCCGGCTGTAGTGGCCATTTGGGGGGTGAACCTACAGAAAAGGAAGACCTTTCTCTCTGTCTCTCTCTCTCACTGTCTAACTCTGCCTGTCATAAAAAAAAACAAAAACAAAAACAAACAAACAAAAAAAACACTTAACTTAAGGGCTGGCATTGTGGCATAATGATTAAAGCGGCAGTCTGCGAGGCCAGCATCTCATATGGGTGCTAGTTTGGGTCCTGGGTGCTCCACCTATGATCCAGCTCCCTGTTAATGGCCTGGAAAAAATAGCAGAAGATGGCCCAAGTGCTTGGGCCCCTGCACCCATGTGGGAGACCCAGATGAAGCTCCTGGCTCCTGGCTTTAATCTGGCCCACCTTGTGCCATTGTGACCATCTAGGGAGTGAACCAGCAGACAAAAGATCTCCCTCTCTGTCTCTCTCCCTCTGACTTTCAAATAAATAAATAAATCTTAAAACACTTAACTTCAAATAATCTCTTGCCAGTAGAGGGATAAAAAGGGAAAAAACCAGAACATCTGATCGTACAAAATGGAAATGAAGACAACTTGAAATTGCTCCTGAACAGAGATGCTGTGTTCTATTGTTGTTAGGGAAACCCGATTTCCAATGTCAGGATGAAAACACACAACGGACATACAGTTAGAAGGAGAACAAAGGCGTGCTGCCCCAGAGGCGTTTGTGCAGTTCACTTAGCCTATGAGAGTAGCACATTAACTAGGTAAGCAGTAGCTGAGCATTTCTGTGCAACACAACATCCTTGTTACTGAAGAAGAAACTAAGAAGTAGTAAATGCACCTGAGACTGTGTGAAGAGACCTCAAAAAAAAATTGTAGAAAGTTGAATCAACATAAATTTATTGTGGTACAAAGAAATTTTGAAATTCATGTGTAGTTTTTTCATAATACTCATTTTTCACAAACTTTCTGAGTATCTCGCATGTATTTCAAATCATGTTTCAACAAAATAAACTTGCATTTTAATTGTATTTTCCACAAGCATTTTGAAGTACTCTTGTGTGAGAGAATACACTGTAATTGAGTCCTTAAAATGGGAGAAGTAATTAGCTTTTAAAAAAAAATTCATTGAAGTTCCCCTTAAGGAAAGTTGATTTGTTAATAATTACCTACATTAAAATACCAGACATGAATAGAGAGAGATGGAGTGGCACATGAGCATCAGATTTCCAAGGCATTCTAAAATGTAACTTTCTGTCATCCCCCATTTCTTATTTTGCTCTGGATCTTAAGGTTAGTCCAGCACACATTCTAGCATGATCTAATATCTAGTCCACTTGTGTATATTAATAACCACACTCCTCAGATCCTATATCTATGATGCAAGATATCAGCCACACAATAACAAGATCTGGATAAACATCTAATGCCAAAGCACTTTTCCTGCTAGAGAACATCCTTTATTTAGCATCATATGTCTCAAATGTGATTCTGGAAGTAATAACTAATATCAATTTTTTTTCTTAACAATTTTCCTTCAGACTATTTGTTTCTTGCTTGATCCATCATCTGAATTAATGGATTATGAAGTTAAGGTCAGGGCTAATTTTCTTTTCAAAGTCTGTAGATCACCTGTTCAAACATTAGAAAATACTCAAAAATATATTTAACATATAATAATATATAATATATAATATAAAATGCAAGCCTGAGACCCGAGACACTAACCCTAGTTTGTCAGAAGAGAGAAACAAGAAGCAGCCCTTGCTCAGTAGTGGAAGCCCCACAGAATGCCCTCCTCTGAGCCCTTCTGCCCCTCCCACTTCCTCCCACCTAGTTTTCATCTGTAGCTTTCTGTGCCTTGTGCTTCCTACAAGTCCCCATGGCTACCAACAATTTACAAAACAGAAGGGGAAGTTTTAAGACAATTCTACAAGAAATTCAGTTATACTATTTAGAATTTCAAGCTTGGTTCTGATTCCTCAGTTATGTGCATGAATCATGAATTTTTTAAAATGTAATTGCTTTTGCACTGCTGTTAGAGTACAGTGATATTTCAAAATACTGAAAAGACACAACAACTCCACACAGTTCAAAATTGTCCCTCCTCACCCATTGACCAGTGTCATACTGAAGTGACACCCTGCTAGTAGGGACTCCATTTTAGGGCACCCAAGACTCCATCTTGAGAAAACACCCCTCCACCGTGAGACTGGTCTGAAACTAACTATGGTCTAAAACTAAGAAAATAACAGAATCATACACCCGACTTGGCAGAACATAGGAATTCCGTAGCATGATCACTCAAGCTTAAAACAGGCTGCACCTGGATGAACGTTACGATTGCAATTTGTCTATGTCCCACATATGATTTAGTACCTGGACTAAAGTCAAGGTTGTAATTGGTATTAGTTTTGCAAATGCTTTAGGTCAGCTTGACCCTAGCAACCATGTATTCCTGCTCCCCTCCTTGTGGTTTTTGCCTTTATAAACAAACTCTGTTGCTTTGAGCTTCGGGGTCAAGAGTTCTTTAGGGCTTGAACCCACTCTCCACACAAAGGACTCCGAAGCTTATCAGTGTGTGGTGCTCCTCTGTCAGCATTCACTCAGGCACAGCAATA